CCGCTCGGTCGAAGACAACAGAGTTGCTCAAAGTAGTCATCGACCGTCTTTTGTGGTCGAAAATAGCGATGAGATTGGCCCACTGAAGGAAGGAAGGGGTTTCCTTGTTTGCGTGTTGGCGGTTAGCTCGTTCGGTGTACCACCAACGAGCAGCGCCTTCCTGTAGCCTAGTGCTGGCAATAGAGAGCCAGTGTGTGACAGGGACATTATGGAGCGAGAAGGCATAGTATAGTTTGTTGACGAAGACGTCCTCATGGGGAAGGTTGGTGAAGGGGGGGATATCCGTTGACCGGAAGGATGGAAGAATGTTACCCGTTAAGGGTGTTGTGGTGGCGAGGGTGTTAAAATCAAGTTTGGGTGAGGAGGATGGTACCCGAGTGAAGTCGGTAGTGGGATTGGTCAGGAGGAGAGTGGACGGAGGAGGTATTGGGATAACGGGGAGCAAGGCTTGAGGTGTGGGGGTGATCTGGGTATGAGTGGAAGTGATAGTGGATGAAGCCATGAGGGGTTTTGACTGCAAGGGAATGGTTGATGACTGCGTGACGACAGGGGTTGTCGTCTTGGTGACCAAGGTCGAGGTAGTGGTGGATGAAGGCTGAGGTGTGGATGACGTGCTAGCGGAGAGGGGGGTGGATGTGGAGGGCGGGGTGATTGGTGTAGATGTGGAGGCGGAGGATGGGAGAAGGATGGTGGCACCCGAGGTGAAGGGGGGGGATATGTGGTGGTGACGACCTGGATGGCGGGGTTGTGACTTTCAATGGTGGTCACGCGAGCAGAGATGGCGGCAATGGATGTTTTGATGTCGTCCATGGATGATTGAAGGTATGCCATCATGCAAAAAAGTGTCCCGAGGTCGATGGCGGCATCGAGTGCTGGTGTTTGCTCGCCTACGAGGTTGCGGGCGATGCTGTCGACGGAGTCGATGCGGATGCCAGACATATCAATGCAGGATGATTGGGCCATGTTTGGGGAGGAAGCGGTGGTAGCAACGACTGAGGAGTTGGCAGCAGATGAGGTGGTGGCAGCGGCAGCTGCGGCGGCTTCGGCGTGTGCGCGTTGAGAGTTCCTGGTTAAGCGTGGCATGCCCCGAGGGGGGGGAGGGGGGTTCCTATTTACAAGAGCACCAAAAGAAGATAATTTACAAAAAATAAAATTTGCAAAACAAGAATTAAAATAAATTAATTCCGATTCGAATTAATTAAAGTTATTCGAAATTAATTCGAGAATAGGCCTTTGGAAAGAAAAGAAGAATCCGAAGGAGAAACTTCCAAAAATTTTCGCTGAAAATATCAAAAAAAGGAGAAAGGAAATTAGTTTCGAAGAAAAGTAAATTCTGATTTGGGTTTAAATTTATTTGAAATTAATTTTGGGGTATGATTTTACAAGAAAACGTGAAAATTTCAAAAAAGGAATTATGTAATTCTAAAATATTCCTAAATTTCTAGAAAGAATTTCGAAAAAGAATTGATCACAAGGCGTTTTCAAATTTCAAGAAAATTTTCGAAAAGGGAATTTTATGAATTAAAATATACAAGAGAAAGAATTAATTAAAATTATTTTCAAATTTTGAAAGAGAAATGCAAGGAAAATGAACAGAAGCGAGATGACAATATTCAGATTGCACAATCATATTGAAAGCCAAATCGTAACACAGTGTTCAGAAAGCAACATTGCACCAATATAACACCAATGGAGAATCGTAGCACTGAAAGTCAATGTCAATGAGGGCTTGCTCTCAACACCACCAACATATGTATCCAGTTTCTATCTCCCTACTTGGCGCTCGACGCCCAGCCTACTCCCTCTACAACTACTACTAGCCTACTAATTGACAATGCAACTGTTGATGTCAGCAGCACCCGAAGTACTTGAAGATGTCGCCCATGCAGAACCATCGCCAATACCAGGTGTGTGCCCTCACATCATCATCATCATCATCATCCTTCTCTCTTTCCCTTGACTCTCTCCCACATCTTCCTTTGTTGTACACCCGAAGATCATTCCTGCGCCTCACTGTACATCCAAGCCCTGCCAGCTATGGAGGCTGGGCTATGGCGCTGCCCTCAGCAGCGCCCTGCTCCCTGCACGACCGCGCGTGCCTGCACCTCGCCGCTCAGCGCTAGCAGCAGCCCACGAGCTTCAGCTCCAGCAGCTCTGCCGCCAGCATGCGAGTGCCCCAATGGATGGCCAGGCAGCGAGCTCTTTCCTATATGGAAAGAGCCTGCCTCATTCGGCAGCCTGGCTGGATTGGCTTGGGCCCAAAAGCTTCCGGTAGGCCCCAGGATGCTGCGCCTCTGGTGCAGCTACTGGGCCTCCCAATTGTCTGTGTATGAGGTTGTGAATCTCGCCCAGGGCCTGTGCTTTCGGGGCCTAGAAGGCCTCGGAATTTCCACGCTGCGCGGCCTGTGTTTCCCTTCAACCAACTGGAGCGACGAAACTGCCTGGACCCCAAATGCGAAATTGACAGCCAAGAGCCTCTCGTGATTTGTTAGGCCCGCCTTCACTTAGGGCAGGCACATATGCTGCAGGGGGGGGCTTAGGCCTACCGAGGACCCATATCCTCGCATTCCCTCCTCCTGTACTTCGATAGTCCTCTGATAAGTTTTCTATTTTGCAGGCATCTTCCCTTTCAGATCTCTTTCATAGCCTGCAATGACTTGAGGTGTAGTTCTCATGAGTTCTTCTCTGGTGAACCACCGATCTTCGCTAGCGTCCAGATGATGTCTGAATCTGACCCGGTACTTTCAGAAGATGCTCCACGATCTGGTCTATGTCCACTTCGCCATCCATGGTTGGGGGCAACATTGATCTCATGGAGGGAAACGGATCTGTGGCAGCGAAAGGTGCCAGCTTGGATGCATGGAAAACAGGGTAAGTACGCAAGTGTGGTAGAATGCAAATCATGTATGAAGGCCCATCCGGTTGATCCCCTACAATGTCTAAGATCTCCCAGGGCCCAAAGTACTGTGGCATCAATTTTCGTGAAATCCCCATCTCCTGACCCAATTTAGATGACTTTACCCAGACTCTATCACCTATCAGAAAGTTAGAGGGCCGTCTATGTTTATTCTCTGATGCGATTATAGCATCCTGAGACTTCCTAATATGTTCAACGGCCTGCTGCAGCATCTGTTCATGCTTGACAACAAACTCTATGCTGCCAGGTGCTGCAATGGATTGCCTTTCTGGTAGCAGAAAGTCAAGTGCACTTCTGGGCTTCCAACCAAGATGCAGCTGGTTGGGAGTCATACCAGTAGTACTGTGCACAACATTGTTGTACAGGCTGGAGACGAGAGGTAACTTCTCGTCCCAGTCATCCTGACTTGGCTTAATATAATGCCGAAGTAGGTGTTGTACTACCCGGTTCATCTGTTCTACCTGGCCATTTGACTCAGGGTGATTCCCTGACGTCATTTGGAGCTTGGTAACCATCTGTTCAGCTGTCGTTTGCCACAGTTCGCTGGTAAACCTTTCATCCCTGTCACTTACTATCGACGTAGATAGTCCAAAATCCTTGACCCAGTTGTCCAGAAACAGTTTGATGACATAGTCGGTTTTAGCAGTTTTTGGCATAGCAATAAGTCTTGCATACTTAGAAAAGCAGTCCACTATCACGAAGATGTGTCTTTTTCCAAACCTGCTGGTCACAAGGGTATCCATGAAATCCATGGAAACACTCCGACCAGGACCTTCAGGAATCGGCAAGGGCTTGATGAGCCCAAGCGGAGCCTGAGTCCTGGGTTTGTCCCTTTGGCAAACTTGGCAGGTTTCAACATACCTTTTGGCATCTTGCATTATAGTGGGCCACCAAAACTTTTGCACTAGATTAGCTGAAGTCTTTTTATAGCCAAAATGACCAGTTGCATATAAACTACGCAAAGACTCACTACTGGGAACACACAATCTTTTATTCCCTACCTTCTCAAGAAACAGCAAGCCGTCTACCATCGTAAATTCATCGAAAGTCTTTTTGTCCTTTGCTTGGAATCTACGGATGATCTCAGACATAAGTGGATCTTGCCGATAGGCTTCCACCAATGATCGAGTTAAGTCGTTGGATATACCAAATTCTGTCACTAGTGCGCCCAGATAATCTGCCCGACGAGATAGTGCATCAACTACTTTGTTGTACTCACCCTTGATTGGATCAAGTTGATAGTCGTACATGTCTATAGTGTCTTAATCCAGCGCAAGGTCTCATGGTCAGATCTCACATAGAAGAATCTGCCAAGGAGATAGTGTCTCCAATGTACCAGCACTCTATACAGGGCATAGAGCTCACGCTCATAAGTGGACTTGGCTTGTTTCTGAGATGGCATCTTCTTACTCATGTACTCGATAGGTCTCAACTTGGTCCGCTCCTTTTGCGCAAGGACCGCGCCTATGCCATATTGGCTAGCGTATGTGGTCACTACAAATGGCTTATCAGGATCCGAAAGTTTAAGAACCTCGTACTGTGTTAGAGCATACTTCAGTTTCCTGAAGGCCGCCTCACACTCTTCAGTCCACTCCCAAGGGGTATCCAGTCGAGTTAGATATGTTAATGGGGAAGCTATGGTACTATAGTTCTTTACAAACGGACGATAGTAGCCCGTCATCCCCAAAACCGATATGACCTCAGTAACAGTCTGAGGTTTGGGCTAGTCACGTACGCTGGCCACCTTAGCATCATCTGGCCTCAATCCCTCCGCTGAGATTTCATGACCCAAGTACAAGATTTTGGAGCAATCGAACTCGCATTTCTCGAAGATAACCTTGTACTGGTGCTGTCTTAGGAGACCTAGCACTATTTTCAAGTGCTCAATATGATCCTCTACAGTCCCACTAACGATAAGAATATCGTCGAGGTACACGACGATAAACTTGTCTAAGTAATCATGAAATATCATGTTCATCGCGTGCTGGAACGTACCAGGTGCATTGCATAGGCCAAAGGGCATCACCACAAACTCGAACAGACCGTACCTGGTCTGAAATGCGGTTTTGTGTTGGTCCTCAGGTCTAATGGCAATTTGATGGTATCCGGACTTCAGATCTATCTTGGTGAAGTACCGACATCCCTGCACTCTATCCAAGAGGTCGTCGAATGCGGGGTAGGGGCTCCGCGTTCTTAACGGTGATGGCATCGAGGCCCCTCAAGGTACCTCCCTTCTTTGGGACAAATAAGACTGGCGCACCGTAAGGGGAGGTACTAGGCCGAATCCATCCCTTTTCTGTGAGCTCCTTGAGCTGGCGGCGGAGCTCATCCAACTCCGCAGGATACATCCTATAGATTCGTCCTCTAGGTACCTTACTACCTGGGACAACCTCTATTGCATGGACCACCTCCCTTTCTACCACGCCTGTGGGCTCCTAAAAAAGGTCTGAATATCTTGCGACGACTGATTCTATGTCTGGGGTGTTTTAACGGCCTCCCCTTTCTCAGAGACAAAGACTAGATACATGCCCTCCTCGCGATTCTGCTTGTAGTAGTTTTAGAAAGAGGAAGCACACGTGCAGCCGTAGTTCTCCACTAGACTGCTAGCCTTATACTTCTGCAATCTAACGGTCCTACCATTTGGCAACTTGTGTAGCAACACCTTCCTATCCCAATCAAACTGAGGTTGCGCGACCTCGAGGTAGTACATGCCTAGTAGCATATCGAAGAGCAGTTCTTCGCTAACGAGGAATGAGATTTTATGTCTCGCTTCCCCTCCTCGATAAGAGAAGGAACAGACTACGTCCTTGCCATAGTCTTTAACAATCATTTGGTGCTTGTTGGCCAGCGTAGAAGCTACAATTCTGCTAAGCCGCTGCACTTGGTCCCCTAAGCGCAGTCTATCCACACAAGCACGACTGATGAAGTTTCGTGTAGAGCCTATGTCTGCGAAGGCGCCAACTTTGCGGCCACCTAAATCAACCTATGTTCCCCCTTTGGACCTCTACTGATCATTGCCCAAGAGTCTCTAGGGTCCTTTCCTAACCACTGAGTCTCTAACTCTTCTAGGGCCTCAGACACATCTCTCGAACAGAGCGTCAGTGGGTCTAAATGTGTCTGCGGGGCGTTATGTGGGTCACTAGCCCCTGGCCCACGCCTGAAGTGGGGAAGGCAACGTTACCACTTCAGTGCAAGTAAGAGCGGCTAAAACTCCTACTGGCCCGAGGTGTTTCCCTACGAAGTGCTCGCAGAAGCATCACCAGGGTTCGAAGATAGTCCCACCACCGTTGGAGAGGCTACCCTCGTTAGGTTTTCTTGCCTCGGCACGTTCGGGGCGTGTGGCCATAGTTGCCACAGTTCATGCACGTGCCTCAAGCGACTCGGTCCCTCCACACCTCATACTCTAAACCAAGTTTCACCCATGCGGGCGTTCCTTGCTTGCCCTGCCCGTAGACCAGCCTACCTTCTTCTTCGCGGTCCCCCTAGCCTTTTCCTTGATGGGTGCCACGACTCCCCCATCCGAAGTCTCGCCGGCCCCATCATGCTCTGTCTCATCCCCTAAATTTGGGAACTCGTCAATCTCCGTCGTTTGACCATCGTGGTCAACGAACATTAACTGACCCTTCTTCTTCCAGTTTTGGGGAAGTCTCTTCTTCCTACCATCTCCCTGACTCTGATGCGCAGATCCCAATTTTGCCTCTATGTCCAAGGCCTTCTTGCTGCATGAAGTGAAGTTGTGTTGTTCGACATAGGCCTCGTCTACCAGCTTTGTCCTAACCTCTGAAGGTAGACATCTAAGGTAAGCCGTAAGTACCTGCTGATCATAGCGCACACCAGGTACTACGAGCAGACGTTCTACGGTATCCGTGAGCTCTCTAACATTCTTGTACCTTTTGGCACCAGGACTGTTAATCGTATCTATGGCCTTTTGGGCCCCTTGAGGGTCATGCCACCTATTGTACACGAACCGTACGAACTCTTCCAATGTCTGGGCCTGGGCCCAGGCATCGAAATTCTGACCTTAGCCCTGCTGTTGCACTAGGCCATTCAACCAGCGGGCTGCTGACCCCTCTAGAAAGGAGGCAGCCACTACAACTTCTTGATCAGGCCAGGTGAGTTTGTGCCTCACATAAGTGGACACCGTCCTCACCCGAGTATCCAAGTCCTCATCCTTCGTCCTGTCGCCGGAGAAGGGCTTAGGACTCAGCAAGGGTATTTTGGGCATCCACTGCATAGGCTGCATTGGCCCAGGGGATTGCTGCAGTGGCTGCATAGCCACCAAAACAGGTTGCTGCACACTAACCTCCGCCTGGCTTGACAGTGGGACTGTAGTAACCACTGTCGTCGATGATACGACTGAGACACTAAGGACCCGACCACTAGTTGCCACATAACCACCTGGAGGGGGCATACCAAACATAGGTGAGAATGAAGGCCCTACCGGCGACGGCGTCACTGATGGACCCGCACCCGAAGGGGGAGCTACACCAAATCGAGGCTGCCTCATCACTGGACGAGGAGCCTGTAGTGCAACCAGAATTCGTTTCTGGCCTGCCACTAGTTCAGCCAACACTTCCTGCTGAACAACCTGCGTCTCCGCGACACACATGAGCGAATTCCGCAGTGCTTGCATAGCGGGATCTAATGTGGACTCATCTAGTGCTTCTAGCTTGCCTAGCTCCTGCAATCTACTACCTAGTCTAGCTTTCCTCATTATAGCTCTCCTTCTCCTCTCCTCTGCTTCGTCCAACTACCGCTGCAACTCATCCTGAAGTTCTTTTGCTTGGAGGATCTCATAATCCTTCGGCGTGAGTTGAGCCTGCTGGCTGACTTGTAAGCCAGCACTTTGGCTAATGGAAACTCAAGAACCACTCTGACTGACTCCTGACGAAGTAGCCATGGTCGTACCGGTGCTAGCTGTAATCCTACACCTGGCACTGTCCTCAGCCACCCTCGCTCTTCTTGTCGCTGTTCTCTCTCTAGCCTCTCTCCGCAGTCTCCTCTCGTCTCCTGGACCTAACTCTAGGAAAGTCAAAGGTCGACTGAGAGCAGTTCTATGAGTAGTCCTCCGGTCATCCACTAATAACTCCTCCTCACTAGTGCTTGCATCACTCATGAGCTACAGTGTGTGTGATCTAAACTAAAATCCACACAGAATCCTACCTCAACATGACACACAACCGATTATGATACACCACTAACTTCGGTCGGTCTGGACAGGAACAGTTAGATAGTTAGGTGTCACCCAGTGTCAGATCCTACAGGAATATTAAATATATTTTTAAATTACTCTAATACAGATTGCAATGCAGCGAAGAATATACTAGTCTATCTGCAGCTGTCTGTCAGTTGTCAATCAAGTTTGTAACAACTAAATAATCCAAAAATGAAAATAATGCTCCCTGCAGAGATGTATGTTGAATGGCTGTTTATCTAATCAATGCCACGACGAACAGTTGTCGGAATCCAACCCTTTCCCTGTATCCCTCTTGAGTAGTCACTTTGTGTCAACATTCCTAGGCATCTGTTTGAGCAGCGTGTCTAAAGGTGTGCAATCCTGCCCACCCCTGTGCCCCAAGTCAACGCCGAACTTGCCAGCCCCTGCACATTATTTATCCTCGCATGCAACGAGCCTTACACCCGGTTTGATCTGGCTGATCAAGAGGCATTTAAGGAGATCCCTCGTAACTCCTCAGGAATTATTTAACGTCACAGATAGGACGACGATCACAACCAGAATCAACACCGAGTCTCGACCAGAAATATTTAAAAACGGTCTGGTAAGCGTTTGTTCAAAGGGTTGGCATGCCCTGCATGACCTCTATTGCGCAGCAGCAGTACCAAGGACTTGCGGCAAAGCATGCTTGTACTAGTCCCAGCAGGTTGGCATGGTGACCGTCACCCGAGTGCTTCGTCCAGGGCCCTTCAGAGGCAACAACCGTCTCCCACCAGCTTGCTGCCCAGGAAGAATGTCGACTCTCAAGGTTGAGCTCGCGACACCTCACATTGAGAGGACTCTCAAGACAAGACTCACTTCCTCACGGTAAGAAGCAATGAAGAGGGTAGGAAGGAAGCAACGTACATTATAATGCTGCCCCCAACCACAAATTTCTCACCGGCAACCTCATGTGCATTTATGATGACTGGTCTTTGCCTCGGCACAACCAACAACAGAATGTAGTTCCACCTCCGCTTAAATGCCACATCAGCGACCTCTCATCATTCAGTGTACAGCCCTAATGTCACCACATAGCTTCCTGGCGCGCCCACACAACCCTTGCCGCCTAATGTCCAATCGCCCAAGCCTTATCACTGCCCCACACCTCATGCAAAGCACCGAACAGCTAATGCCAAGAACCAATGAGCGCAGTTCGAACCAGCTCCGATACTAAATTGCAAGGAAAATGAACAGAAGTGAGATGACAATATTCAGATTGCACAATCACATTGAAAGCCAAATCGTAACAGTGTTCAAAAAGCAACATTGCACCAATATAACACCAATGGAGAATCGTAGCACTGAAAGTCAATGTCAATGAGAGCTTGCTCTCGCCACCACCAACATATGTATCCAGTCTCTATCTCCCTACTTGGCGCTCGGCGCCCAGCCTACTCCCTACACAGCTACTACTAGCCTACTAATTGACAATGCAACCGTTGATATCAGCAGCACCCGAAGTACTTGAAGATGTCGCCCATGCAGAACCATCGCCAATACCAGGTGTGTGCCCTCACATCATCATCATCATCATCCTTCTCTCTCTCCCCTGACTCTCTACCACGTCTTCCTTTGTTGTACACCCGATGATCATCCCTGCGCCTCACTGTACATCCAAGCCCTGCCAGCTATGGAGGCTGGGCTATGGCGCTGCCCTCAACAACGCCCTGCTCCCTACACGACCGCGCGTGCCTGCACCTCACAGCTCAGCGCTAGCAGCAGCCCACGAGCTTCAGCTCCAGCAGCGCTGCCGCCAGCATGCGAGTGCCCCAATGGCTGGCCAGACAGCGAGCTCTTTCCTATATGGAAAGAGCCTGCCTCATTCGGCAGCCTGGCTGGACTGACCTGGGCCCAGAAGCTTCCGGTAGGCCCCAGAATGTTTCGCCTCTGGAGCAGCTATTGGGCCTCATTCGGTTGGGCCTCCCAACTTTCTGTGTATGAGGCTGCGAATCTCGCCGAGGGCCTGTGCTTTCGGAAAGGCCTAGTAGGCCTGGGAATTTCCACGCTGCTCGGCCTGTGTTTCCCTTCAACCAACTGGTGCAACGAAACTGCCTGGACCCCAAATGCGAAATTGATAGCCAAGGACCTCTCGTGATTTGTTAGGCCCGCCTTCACTTAGGGCGGGCACATATGCTGCAGGGGGCCCCTTAGGCCTACCGAGGACCCATATCCTCGCAGAAAGATCGAAAAGGAATTCAATCAATTCTATTGTATTTTCAAAATTTTCGAAATGAATTTCCAAAAAAAAAAAAAAAAAAGCAATTTTGAGAAAAAATTAATTAATTCGAACGAAAAGAATTTGGTTTATTTCTAAAATAAAAAAAAGCAACGTTGAGAAAAAATTAATTAATTCGAACGAAAAGAATTTGGTTTATTTCTAAAATATTTTTGAATTACAAAAATTGTGAAAAAAAAATTTTAAAAAAAAAATAAAAAAGAATTAATTAGAAATATTTTTCAAAAACGAAATGTCAAAAAGAAGTTTGTTTAATTCTAAAATATTTTCGAATTACAAAAATTTCAAAAAAGAATTAATTAAAATTGTTTTCGAATTTCGAAGAAGAAATGCCGAGAAAGAATGATTAATCCTACGTATTTTCAAGAATTTTGAAAAAAAAATACTTTTGAGAAAGAGATGTCGAGAAAGATAGTTAATTGAGTATTTTCAAATTTACAAAAAATTCAAAATGGATTCTAGAAAATAATAATAATAATAATAAAATGAGTTTTGATGTTAATCGAGGGAGGACCGATCCTAGCTACGATTGATTGGGTGGTAGCGTGGTAGGTAGGGCACGGGTAGATTAAGGATGATGATGATGATAGGGGGCGGAACGTGGGGGGGCAAGTCGCGCAGCTGTCTCTTATACACATCTAGATGTGTATAAGAGACAGGGCGTGCACCACCCGAGGTCCTCCACGGGGGGGGGGGCAAAGAGAATCGGGGGTGGAAGGAGAACAATCAGAGGCATGAGGAGGAGAAGAAGAATCAGGAGGGAGAAAGAAGAGGAAGAAGAAGAAGAGGAGGAAGAAGGGGGAGATGATGACAACGGGGAGGGGGGAAGAGGAAATGTGGACGATGATGGTGAAGGAAAAGGGGAAGAAGAAGAAGAAACGAGGAAGAAGAGAAAGGAAAAAAAAAGTTTCTCGGGGGCTTTCCTGCGCGTCGTCGATGGCAGCGGCAGTGGTGATGATGACGTGGCAGAGGGTACGAGGGAATGTTGACGATGCGGTGGCAGCAACGACAGCGACGACGATGGCGATGACCTGGCAACAAGGTGACGACTATGAATCCCCCACGGTCGTGGTCGCCGCGGGCACGACCGCGGACTGCGGCCTCGGCCGCGAGGCCGCGGTCATGAAAAAAAAAAAAAAAAAAGAATTCAGAAAAATCTGAAAACAATATATGTTATGCCAAAAAATAAACTGAACAACTTTTGCCTTGGGGTCATATCAAAATTCGTTACCACATTTGAGATAAAAATCAAACAAAATCCTTTATTTTTCTTACTAAAAGAATAAAGTGAAGAACTTTTGCCCGAGGGATTTTTGTTTTTCGATTTTTTAAATAAGAAAAGATGTCAAAAAATAAAACTAAAAATATACGGTTGTAGGGAATTTCAAACCCTACAACCCCCCCTTTTTTTTTTTTTTGGCCTATTGTTTTATTTAAAAAAAATCCCCGGCTTTCATGCCCGCAGTCGGCTGCGGGGGTCAACCGCCGCGGGCGGGGTCCCGACCGCATGCGGCAAAAAAGCCCGCCGTCATGACCGCGGGTGATACATAGGGTGACGGTAACGAGGTAACAATGATGTTGATGACGTGGCAACTACGGCGACGGGGTCAACGGCGACGATTATGACGTGGCAGTGACGGCGACGAGGTCGATGGCAACGACGATGAATCAGGGCGGGAGGGAGGGCCGAAGCCGCTCCGATACCAGTGTGACGGCGCTGAGGCAGAGCAGTGAGGTCGGGGAAGAGAGAGGGAGGGAGTGAGAGCACACACACACACACACACTCACTCAACTCGACATGGACTCGACACAACTCGACGGACACGGACACAAAGTGGCGAAGTGGCAAAGTCACAAAGTCGCAATCTTGGTTCCGTACACAATGTCGCAGCAAGTCACACTGAGGCACAAGCACCGAGGCCGAAAACTGAGTCCCCGAGCTCAGCTTGAGTCCGGTCTTAAGCACCGGACTCAAGTTGAGTCTGAGGGCAAAAGTGCAATTTGCCTTGGGGCTGAACTGAAAATCGAAGGTCTGAGCCTGGGCGCCAGAATGTCGGATGGCGCCAAGTACGAAATCCGAAAGTGGCAGAGGCGGGATTTGAGAACGGGCGCCAACTGCAGAGGGCGCCAACAATCAGGAACTGGAGATAGAATAGCAGCCTGGCGGGTGGTAACCTTTGGACCAGGGATCGAGCCCTGGCTGGGTCTGTAACAATGCCCGTAGTCTTTAAACCAATGACTAAAGAACTCCCGAATGACTAAATATGTCCTAGCTTCAGTAGGGAGTGGAATGAAAACAACGAACTTGTTGAATCTATCTACAATGACCATAACTTGGCTCTTTCCATTCCTACTCTTCACCTTAGTGTCCAAAAAGTCTATAGACACAAAGTCTCCGGGATGCGACAGGATAGGCAACGGCCTAAGTAAACCAAGGGGAGTCTGCGTGGAACTCTTGTTCCTCTGACACACTTACACTGACACACTTACAACACTGCACATAAGCTATGCAATCATGCTTCATTCCAGTCCACGTGTAGGATCGTAGGAGGTTAGCATGCGTCTTCCTCCAACCGAAACGACCCTCGGTATCGTGGCATTCCCTAAGGATTGAATCTCCTCACTATTTGGTATGCACAGTCTGTCGTGCACATCCGTCTTCTCAAACAGCAGCCCTTGTGCCATCCTAGAGTATGGAATCTCGTGTGGTGTCGTCTGCAGATTGGATCACTAGCACAGGTGGATCTAATTTTCTCTTGCAACTCGGTGACTGTGCCTAAATACGCCACTATGGCACCGAAAAAGTCAGCCCGTCTACGTAGTGCATCAACAACGACATTGTATCTCCCTTTGACTGACTTTAGTTCAAAATTGAACTGATCTATCTTCCCAGCCCACCTTGTCAGCTAGGTGTCATTCTAGCTTGGGTCTTCAGCCAACGAAGTGTCTCATCGTTTGAATAAGTGTCATCCTAGGAGGTAATGTCACCAATGATTCAAGGCTTCTCTAAGAGCAAATAGCTCCCACTCATACGTAGAAACCGCGACCTATCTTGGTGCAACACAACACCTACCCCGTATTTACTAGCGTAAGTGGTAACTAAAAACGACAAGGACGGATCACCGATCTTCAAAACCAGGTACTCTATCAAGCACATTTTCAAACGCTTAAACGCTGAGGTACAGTCCTTATCCCATTTCCAGACTGTTTCCTTCCTCGACAACCTACGCAATGGACCAGCTATTACAGTAAAGTTTCGTACGAACCTGCGGTAATAGTTGGTCAGACCAAGGAACGACCGTAATTTCGTCAACGTACGTGGCGTCGGCCAATCTCTGATTGCTATCTTATCGTCCTATGGTTTGATTCCATCTCCATCCAACACATGTGCCAAGTATAACACATGACGCTTGACCCATTCACACTTCTTCGGGTTCAACTTACACTCGGCCTCGCGCAACTTGCTTAGTACTAACCGAAGATGTTGCTCGTGTTCTTCTAGCGACTTGCTAAAAATCAGAATATCATCCAAATATACCACAACGAATTTGTCTAACCAATCCCGGAAAAGTTCATTCACACAACGTCGAAAAGTAGCAGGGGCATTAGTCAACCCAAACGGCATGAGGACAAACTCGTAGTGGCTATATCGAGTCCTAAATGGCGTCTTGTGTTGATCCTCAGGCAACACCTCGATTTGATGGTAGCCCGATTTCAAATCCATCTTTGAAAAGTACTTGCAACCTTGTACTCTATCCAGCGGATCGTCTATCCGCGCTAACGGCTCAGCATTCTTTTTAGTAATTGCATTAAGAACCCTATAATCTATACACATGTGCAAATCGCACTCTTTCTTTGGCACAAATAGGACCGGTGCACCATACGACGAGGAACTAGGCTTAATCCACCCTTTTTCTATTAGCTCATCCAACTGTCTATGCAACACATCGAGTTATTTGGGAGACATCCGATACATGGGGCCCTTGGGAATCCTGCTATCGGGTTCTATATCTGTTAGATGCTTGGTCTCCCTCTCAACTACTCCACTTGGGGCCTCTCCCACGTCAGCAAACTCGTCCAACAGACTCTGCAAATTGTGTGGTACGGCCACTTCCTCCTTTCCCTCACTAGCTTGTCTCACATAGGCAACAAACACTTGCTCAATGAGGTCATTCTTGACAACGTGCCTGGTGAACGTGGGGGCACTCGTACAATAAAGGGACAACCCACTCTCTACGAACGCTTTTGCGAGCACGGCTCGCCAGCAGAGCAGAGTGGGCCTAAGTAGATTTGAACTACTGACTTTACACTTATCAGGTGTATACTCTAACCAACTGAGTTATAGGCCCATGCTTGGAAAGACTTGAACTCTCAACCCCCAAATCCGTTGTTTGGTGCTCTATCCAATTGAGCTACAAGCACATTCATTTGTCCCTTTCGTCGAGAGGTATAGGACATCGCTTTTTTGTTTTTGTTGAAAATCGCAGTCACACCTTTGCTGATAGGTTTTTCTACAAATTTGTTATTTCGGATGCATGAAAGAAACACAACTTCTTCTTCCCACCTGTGCGCATGGGGAACCAGCACTCATGCTCGCCCATCTTAATATCAGCATACGCGGCGTTGCCCCAATCAGTTCCTAGAATCGTGTCAAAAGGAAGGTTATTCTCCACTAAGAGTGTCA